AAAGCCCACCTCCTCTCTCAACCTTCTTTGTCTCTCCTCCTCTTGCCTTCTCGGCAAGAAGAGCGAGCAAATCTGAACTTAGTGATTTGAGGAACCCACAACAAAAGTAATTCTTCAAAGCCTGCCTGTCTTCTCAAATGCATTTGTCATCTGTCATGTTTTGCTCTCTTACATATTATGTAAACGATACTGGGTCAACACCGCTGTAGCTTCTTGGAGGAACAAACAACTATAATTACCTTAAGCAATATTTCCTTAAAGAGTATGAAGGAGCATCATAGTCTCATAGTCATCCTTTTTCACCGTACCAGCCCAGCCCATTGTCCACTGCCCATATCCACACTCTCATCCGAGCTCCCCACCTCTTCTCTTCCGCCTCACGCGTCTTCCGCTGTCGCTCAGCCGCTTCGGCCGCTTCAGCCACCCGCTGTCGCTCGAGTGCCTCCTGTTTCAGGAAGGGTCCAGAATGCTGGTAGGCAGCAAAGTTTGCGTGAGACTTGTGTTGGTTTCGAATGGCTCTGTCATAAACATGGACTCGCCACGGTTTCAGAGTAGATGTGGATTCCTTCTGCAAGGTTGCGCCAGCTGCTCCAAGTCTACTCTGGAAATAATGACATGTCATCTTGATGTCCAAGAGCGTCAGTCCAACAAAAATGCACCGTCCTTCGCTGCTCGCTCCTTCTCTCGTGCTTCACCTCAGCAATCAGGTCATACCGCCCAGGCTTGATTACAAGTTGCACGTTATAGTTATATATATAATCATTATGTGTGTACATGTGGATGACTCGCCAAAACACTGCACAATGTGCAATACATGTATACTCTGTTGGATGCAGTTATATATGTGTGGTCCCAAATGCTACGCTGCTACTACTACTCTATTTGGAGTATGACTGTCTACCCTTCATAGATCCCTTCATGTGTTACAACAGCCCGGGTGTCCCGGCGTTCCGCACGTGCCTTCAGATCCGCTTGGCTGTAACCAATGTCCTTAGAGTTTTGGGGTGGAAGCATTGGACATGCGTTTGGCGGTCTGAAGAAGACCGGAACAGGCTGAAGAAGAAGATCAAAGGTAAGAGTATGGAAAGACTTGAAATCGCATGAGAAAATCAATACTGTAGATAAATCAATAAAGTTTGATGATGTTTGGTGCAGTATGTGAGTGGGTGACTTCCAACTGAAACCTCCTGGATAAAAAAAAAGTCTGAGTCAGGGAACCGGAGCAAACATCAATGTGTGCATCTCAGAGAAGGGGAATGTGTGTCTCGCAAAAACCAATTCAGGGAGGGGCACCTCAGCCAGACAAACGTAACATAAGAATCAACCACAAACACAAACAAACCTCGAAAGTTGTCCCCATCATGTTCCCAAGCGCTAAAATTGCAACGCAGGGAACATATAATGGAAGCAATCAAAATCATGTTGCGTGCAAACTTCTGGAGGACTTGCTGGATGTCAATGAAAACTTATCAAAATGCTCGAAGACAAGAAGGCCAGTGTCCTCAGCCCTCCCCCACGCCCCTAAGAAAGCAAAGAGCAATCAGGATCCTCGCAAGATGACATACAAACATGATATGCATTGGCATTGATATGATATCATATGCAAAAACAGCTTCACTACACACGCGATTTTAAGTCCATTGGCAAGAGACATGACAAATAACATCAAATAACAACGATGATATCGCACCACATCGGCCAAGTGTTTGCCCCAAGAGAAAGAACGACTGGAACCTCGAAATAAGTCACAAAACATGATGCCAGGGCCTATGCTCTTCTTGTTGGAATTGTCGCTGGTCAAGAGCCCGCCGAAGCTCTCCTCTTTTCTGGCCCCCCAACAAAAACTCCCACATGTTCTGCTTTCTTTAGTTCAATAGAAGTTCAATATGGTGTTTCTTCCGTAAACATCACGAGGCCCAACAAAAAGACTTCTTCGCGCCGAGCAGCTCCAAAACCGGCGCCAAAGGCCGATGCTGCGGACCTCGTGCATGTTTTCGCGTCAAAGCCAGAAGAACTGGGAGACCAAACGAGAGAAGATATTAATGGGGGAAGACATGGGAATACCTGGACCTTCTTTTGGGGTGTCCTGTCTGGAGGTCCCTTATGTAGTGTAGGGGCTTCCATTGGTGACCCCTTTGAAGGTGCTGTAGTATAAACTGCTGTTGTTGTATTATATATGACTTCTGTGTGTAATAAAATGTTAACTATTGTATGACACATTAAAATCATATTAATGGGCTGCTTCATGTTCTTTATGAGTTGTATAGGTGTCCTTTTGGGGTTCATCGAGTGATGACTGGGTGCCTTTGATTGGCACAATGTGTGAACCAAAGCAATCCTTCAGAAGTGTCAGAAGGGTTTGATTTGGGACCTCGCCCTTCACCCTCCTGCCTTCAGGTCGAAAGCTAGCCAACCCACTCACCACGCTTCATTTCCCTTCGGCCAAACACACAGGACCGCCAAACTGACCGTCTTTTTGCATTTTTTGCCTTCGGTCTCAGCTGCCAGTGCAGGGACGCGTGGAAGAATCGAAGCAAAGCGCCCAAACCCAGCGGCCATTTCAAGCACCCCCTCAAACATGTGTCTAGGTATCCATCTTCCCTCTTTGGACTCAAGTCTTCTGTTCCCAATACCAGTGCCTTACCACCAGAACTGACTACACCTACACCCGATCCCATTACTGCCCAAGCCCCGCCCATCTCTGTCCATACCTGGGTGTGCCCGACGCCAGCTGTTGGATTTTATCCAAGTTGGCCGGTTTCCAGCTGCTGGTGCTCACCGCCCGCATCGCTGGTGCTCACGGCGTGGTTTACGGCTATTTTGGTTTGGAACAGCGGGTTATGATGCAACCAACACCAGCAATGAACAGGTGTTCGAATCATGAAGGGGAGCTGGCTACCCTGAGCTCCTCTGGTCAAGGACAGTAGAGCCTTATTTCAAAGAGTATAGACTATAGTCAACTCTCACCAAAGAAACTGTGGCCAATCCGATCTGACGGTCTGATCATGTCTGATCCCTAGCATAGGAAGCTTCACTTAGTCCAGTGAAATGGGCTGGTTGTTTGCATGGACAGGCAGAGTTCCAGCAATGCAACCGAATGCAACCATGTCCATGCCAGTTATTGTGGCACTGGTAGCAATCCTTCCGTCCATTAGAACTTTCAGGTTGTACATTGCTTTAAAACCTATGCAAGTCTGGAGTGAGCAAGCTTGACGTCAAAGCGAGCCGGCACAGGCAGTTTTTTTGGGATGCTTGGGCCTGCCGAAAGCGTCAAGAGTCCAAATTAGATGTTACCCTTTAATGCGGAGACCTCCCAGTTCGACACCCAGGAGGGTCTCCCTATTAAAATACTTATAAAATACCTTTTACTTTAGTCTTGCGGAAGAACCGCTTGAAGAGTGACCAAACATAGTTACACGACTCTCAACCCACATGCTTGGTACTGGTGGTGAAAAGTCCCAAACAGGACACCCATGTGATCCTTGCCCACTTCCTTCACGTTCGTCAAAGGTCGACACAAGTCGAAACCAACACGTCTTCCACCTGGCTCAGAATCCCGCTGGTGATCTGATTTGAGAGGACTGACCGGGAAACCGCGGATTGGCACAGTTTCTCGGTGCCAATTGTGAGGTTCAAAATGCTTGAAGCGATGGGAAACTAATTAGCTACATTGTCTTGGGGTTGCTGTCCAAGAACCGGGAAAACACACATATTCCCAGGATGGGGATTCATCAGGAGCCGGGAAAATAGAGTCGGACCCTATCAGCAAAACCAGGTATATATGTTCTTCATGGGACGTCCCTTCCATTCCGTCTTGCAACGGAAATGCTAGTCAGATACCACATGATACCTGGTGACTTCAACTATCTGACAGAAAAACATCTACCTCCAGCCTAGTGCACGGTTGCGCAACCAGTCCAACCAAGCTGCGAAGTATAAATGATCACCGCAACTGAATGATCCGCATCCCCTCCGCACATGTTCTTCACCCGCCACGCCAACGGGTTGCAAGGGTGCAACGGGCTCGCTGCTCGTCCCAGAGGCAGCTGCGGTTATGAAAGGGTTGACGGAATGCTCAGCAGCTCGGTTGGTCAAGACATGTCCCCCCCTGACTCGTCGAAGAACACGAAGAATGACCAGTGGACAACATGAGTTGCACAAACCTCGAAAGAGATTACAAAGAAGTTCAGCATCGCCGGCCTCATCCAACATCATCCAACCACCTTTGAGGGCTGTTGCTCTAAAGGAAACCAAACAAACACTGCTAGAAGCAAAGATCTACCGGGATCGCAGTTCTTCTAAGGAGGGCATCTCAAAGTCGAGTTCGCATGTGTTCACCTCCTTTGACTCTACAAACAAGGGCCTCCAAGTCGAGGCGTCCTTTTCGATGCGAACCTTGTGCAGGAAGACGACCAGGACCCCACGGGCATAGCGGGCATCAATCAGAGAACTCACTGATTAGGGATCCAAACCAACAGGCTCTGACAGGGAAATTCAGTCACGGACTCATGGTCAACTCAACACCCTATAGCATACTAATCGTTTCTTAATTGGGTATTAGACCCTGAAACCCTGCAGAACAACCTCAGCTTTCAGTGCTCTTCTTCCCAAACCTGCCAAAAAACGGGCAAACCCCTCGGTGTCCGCACAAACCACAAGCGGACACCGTGTCGAGCATGTCGAGCCGAGCCATCCACCCTCTGATCCTCTCAGTCCCGTCCTGTCTCCCGACTGTGCTCCAGCTAGAAGCCCATAGAAGCTCACGGCAAAGCAGGCTCCAAATCATCACCAAAAGCATTCCAAATCACGGATGACAAAAAGCTAAGCAGCTATTGGGATGAGCATGTTGGAGCCACGTCTGGGAGTCGGAAGAGATGCCTCATTCTGTAGATGTGAAACATTCAGAGTTCGCCACTCCGAACTAGATGCGCGCGCACCACACCTGGATCAGTTCAGACTTTCTGATGCTTGTTGCATCTTGCTGCTCGCTTGGCTCTGCTCCAGGTCATCTAAACTCGTCCAACACACGTGTCGCGAGTGAAACTTGGTCCACCTATCTACAGATCAGCCGATCAGCCTGGCCTCAAACCCAGTTTTGCTTGGGGCCCCACCACCTCCGCAGCGCGGGGCTTCTCGAGGACCCGACTACAACGAATGAAGCTGTTCTTCACCAACTAGTCTTCCAGCTCACCCGAAGATGTTCCAACTCACGTGTTCCTGATCACGTCTGGTCTTTTTCTTCGTCTTCACCGAGTTCGGTTCACTCCTTCGCCGAGAGTTCGCTTCGCTCCGAGCCCCACGGCCGGAGACACGTCGAGGTTCCCGCGCACGGTGGGTCCACGTCTCTCCCATTTGCGGACCTGTGGGTCGTCATCTGCCCCCCCCCACACATCGGGGTCATCCCTGGTCTAACACTGCCACATCGGCCTCAAGAGGCTTCCAGAGAGCTTCTCAGGGTTGTAGATGTGCGCCAATAGGAAACAGGCAAAGTCCAAGAGCAACAAGAAGTGAACGATGTGCCCTCAGCTGCTGCGTGATGCAAAGAACGGGGTGTTATTCGGCCAGGTGAGGCGGGGTCAAAGAAGATGGTATATGTTTTGTGGGTGGGGTGGGAAGAAATCCATTCGAAAAGCTTTGCTCAGGTGTTCCATGCAATAAGTTGCAAGAACAAAGTACAGCTGTTCAGTGTTAAAACATCTAGAATATTCTAGAATCTCATTATACTCTTGATTATATGCCACCACATAATTCACAGAAATCTGCCCTTTTCGTGCCCGAGTTTTGGATCTTTTCCATGTACCAGGACCCACAAGGTTTGGTTGATCACCCCGTCTACCCTCTTTTTTTTTGAGCTATCAATAAACATCCCTGGGCCCTTTTGGGTCCAACACAAGAGGCACACCACGTGGTGACTTCTCCTCTCCTCGGATGACTTCTTCATGTTTGGCCCCGTAGGGTGTCCAATCCATTGTCTGTTTGTCCGATGCGTTCCGTGAAGGTCACACTCCCCCCGGCAGAGCTGCCTGCAGCTCCCAGCGGTTCGCTCCAGCCCAATCGGTAGGCTGAGATCAGGTCCTCAAGACCAGGTGTCAAAGGTGGGCATTTCAGGGTCGACCGGTCCTTCCCCTGCTTTTTGCTGGATTTCAGCCGGTTCACAGGCTGGCGATGGTCTAGGCATCTCTGGGAGAATCACCAGGTTTCATCCTTTTGAACTCCGTGTCGGTGCATGTGGGTGTCGCAGAAGGGATTGAGTTCAACAGCAACGGACGGAAAGAAGAGGTTTCATCTTCTGTCAATCTGTGGAAGGGTCCACACGTAGAAAAGTGATGGTTGCCTGGCAGTTGGACGCAGAAAAAAACCAACTGCCGCCTTCTCTGGATCAAGGCAAAATCCATCGTGAATTGCTTCCCAATCTGGAGGTGTTCCATTTTCGGAAAAGAAAAAAACACCCAACGTCACCCAACCAAACCAAACCCAACCAAAATGGTCAAACAACAGCTGTGTACAACACTTCTAGACACCACAGAGAAAAACACTCAACAAGACATCAAGATCTGCGTCTAACACTCACCATCACCGTCACCAGCGCCTCCATGACGTAGAAACAAACCAAAAAGGCAAAGAAGGCCAAAGCCTGAATGCAATGTCGCATCGCTTCGCTGAATGCAATGTCCCCGCGATGTTTCGCACATTCACCAGTTCGCTGGTTGGTGGCTTCGAATTACAAACAAAATTTAATAAAGACCTGTGGCGTCAAACATCCCAATGAAGTAAAGGTGGAGAATTAGCTTATCCGAAACCCCCACTCAAAGGAAGAGTGGACATGTGGAGCAAGATACATTAACTGCTAGTGTCTTTGCTCCCACCAAAACGGCCTACGAGCCACTTTGTCATCTAACTGTCTAATGGCACCCGGGACACCCTAAGCTTTACATGAACAACTTGTTTACTCTGACCCTATTTTCATTGAATTACATTTATTCGAAAGGATGGACGGGCGCAACTGAACCTCCCTCTTGTGGTTCCGGGATCTTCACACGTTGTGCTCTTTGATGTGCGACGGCCGGCCGATCGGAAGACCACGTTTTGAAGCAAGAAATCTCAAGGGTTTGTCAGAGACTGATCAACCATGCACCTTACTTAAAGGGAAGCTTGCGGGTGTGTGAAGGCACGCATGCGTGTCATCAGTGCACTGGATGTGTTTTCGTCTTGGCCTTATCTGCAGTATTCTGCAATCCGGCAGTATCTTTGAAGATCCTTTTTGTACTGTATCAAGTGACATCAAATGTACCCTCCAAGTCACTAACATGCAAGTGGATGGCATGGACCCTTGCATGACCATGTTCCTTTACAAACAGGGTGATTTCCACTTCCATGTTGGTGACTCGGAGTGTACTCACTACATAGTGCTTGCATTTCACAGCCTTCTGGATGCTTACGCTGTGCTCCAACCCTGGACTGCCTTTTCAAAGGACACCCGCCTGAAGGCTGATTACTATCAACCATAATCTTTCTGCCCCATGATTCACATGAAGTATCTGGAATCATGTCTTTCTTGGGCATGAAACACCTCCTCAATATGAACAAATGCGCCATTTCTCAAGGTGATCTCATCCTCCTCTTCTCCTCAACCAAAAACATCCTCTGGCTTCCCGGCCCCGATCAGCCCCTGCCTGCGATTCTCGACAGGCGGTAATGCTGCTCCAATCCTGCGCAAAAAATATTACCAACGGTATCCAACGGTCACGAGAATGGCAGAGGCCCACCAGGGAAGCGCAGAAGTCTCCTGACCTGATCAGTGAGTTCATATGTATTTATCCATTCCCATGACATAACCAACGGTTCCAAGACTGGTGAGCAAGGAAGCAAACACAAAGAATTACTTTATCTCAACCCCCACCTCATGTCTTTCAACATGAGAAGTGGGAGAAAAGGACACTCCGACTGACTAACATGGAAGTGTAACATGAAAGTGGAATACACCCCCCTTTGCAAAGGAACGTCGTCTTACAAGGGGTCCTTTCCTATCTGAGAAAATTGTCGGGGTTTTTTAGGTGCAAAGCCCAGGTTTTGACCCTCATAAGCGTGATGGATCTAAAATGATCTAAACAGATGTGAGGGTCCATGAGCCTCTGGGTACAGACATGTATATACCCTAGGGCTCCAACCACCTCCTGAGAAGATGGTTGGGGTGGGTACCAGGGGGGTCTAACCACCTTCTGAGGATATCGTTGGAGCCCTAGGGATATAAACCATACAAAGATTGCTTGAACCATGAGACGAGGGTCCCTCGATGTTCGAGACCTAAGGTACATGTCGACCGTCACTGACACCTTTCCACGTCTCAGCTGACACCACGTCTTAACACCTAATTATGCGCGTGTCGGGCGTACAGCATCTCGTGTCAGCCGGGCAATCCAAAAAAACGCGAATCCAGTTCCCAGGTCTTTCCCATGCAATGCGCACGGCACTGATTCGACCCATGGGAAATCCACTCCTCACCCTTCTTCACCGTCGTGTGGACCATCCACACCGCCGGAACCTCGACAAGAATCCCATGCGGATTCTCCGGATTCGGATTGGGATTCGAGCTGGATCCGATCCCACACGCTGTCGAGGCCCTGGGCTGGGTCCGTTGGATGGGAAATACCGACCTTTAGAGATGTGTTGCAGAAACAGCCGCACATGATCCATTGATAACTGCCAGAAACTGCTATGACTGCCGATCCAAAGCCAACACTTCGGAGCAAAAACACTGCGGCATGACTCACATACACCTCCATCTTTTTTTCAGGTCCGTCCTCTGAGTCCCCCAACAAATGCAAGGATCTCAATGTAGTTTGCAGTGGTAAAGATCGTGCTCTCCAGCAGGGTCTGGCGGTTATAGTAGTCCACGACCTGGCTTTTCGGACCTACTCGGCACCCGGTGCGAGGCTCCCCGTCGACACCGGTGGAAGACACCGGTCGACTCACCGGCCGGTTGGGCGCGCTTCCGGTCCTTCCGCCGGTTGGGCGCGACAGCTGACGTGACCGTCACAGCTGAGCCCCTAAGAGGTCAGGAAGCAGAGGTTGAAGGACCCTTCACTAGACTATACATATAGATACTCCAGTGGGGTCCTACCGTAGATGGACGAAATATTCAACCCCTTTCAACCACGTGGACCCCTTCTACCCCAAAGCTCAATGTTAGAGGTCTTGCAAGAATGTTTCGGCGAATGGACGAAACAAATCAAACCCTGGAAACACAAATTCAATCAAGTTATGTTCAACATTGACCTTTGGGGGTCAGGGGTTGGCGACAGTTATTGGTACATGGGTTTGAATATTTGGTCCATCTACTGTCTAAAGGTGTGACGTTTGCATATTTTTGGCTCGTAAGTATCAAGTCTAACATCTTCATCCGTAGTACTCTGTGTTTTAATCTTCTGTGCTCAACAACACTTTCACATCGACACGTTGCGAGCGAGGACAGCAGACGTCAGGAAAGCAAGCCAGATGAAGAGCAGTTCCAGCTACGGTTCTTACTGTTGCCATGTGCCGTGTCTGTTCCCAGTGCCTTTCCAGTGCCTTTTCCAGTGCCTTTTCACGGTTTGTGTGCGCCTGCCAGTGATTTTGCCATGTGACTCACTTTTTTGCTAAAAAGAGATAACTTATCTTTTTGTTTCAACAAAACTTACCGGAAACACTTCTTTCCTGGCAGGGCCACGAGAAAGTGCAAAAGGCACTGGAAAAGGCACTGGAAAAGGCACTGGAAAGGCACTGGAAAGGCACTGGAAAGGGACTGGGAACAAACACAGCACATGGCAACAGTAAGAACAGTAGCTGGAACCGCCCGGCATCACTTGAAAACAACACACGCATGTGAGGTCTCCGGTCGCCGTCCACACCCAGTACCGTAGATGGACGAAATATTCAAACCCTTTCAACCACGTGGACCCCTTCTACCCCAAAGCTCAATGTTAGAGGTCTTGCAAGAATGTTTCGGCGAATGGACGAAACAAATCAAACCCTGGAAACACAAATTCAATCAAGTTATGTTCAACATTGACCTTTGGGGGTCAGGGGTTGGCGACAGTTATTGGTACATGGGTTTGAATATTTGGTCCATCTACTGTAGTTCAGGTCACTGGCTACCTCTCTGGGAAATCCGTGAACATCGAAGGATGGACGTCGGGTGGCTGTCAGGGTCGGCCCAGGTCTTCCAGGTCTTAACCACAGCGGAACGCGTTGGACCGAAGCAGACCCTGTTGCAAACGGTGAAGGCCTCTCCGATTGAAAGGGTCGCTTCAGGATGTTAGGTTGATTCTAAAAAGGAACGGTTCGACTTGTAACTTATATATATATAACATAACATATTATATAACACTACTGTTATATAACCATCATATAACCCTCTTCTGCCAATTTGCAAAGAACATGATGTGGGGTGGAATGACGTTTTAGGCCACATGACTTGGATTTGGTTCCAACAACTTCGCCTCGGTGAGGAAAGCAGAGCCAATGCCCAGGAGCACCAAGCCCAACAAATCCTGGCGCTTTGAAGGTGGAACAATTCCAACTAGCTAGAGGTGGACCACATGGCCGAGGAATACCAAACAAAAACTAGCAAAAATAACTCTTTCCACATATGTTACTCTAGAATACTCTAGAGACCGTACAAACATGGGTTGGATTGTATCCTCAAGTTCCAACACTGTAAACTGTAAACATCCGTGCAAGGCTAAAATCATGGGTTTCTTGATGAACCTAACCATCATGGAAGTGGAACACGACCCTACTTTACTTTCCGCACCGCAAAACAGGGGGTGTTCGGCTTCCATGTTTGTTGCACGATTCGTGATCACATGATCATCACCAAATCTGAAGAATCTTGCTGGCAATGTGCTTTCTGGAGATACACGTCCCTTACATCCCACATAAACATAATGAACCCACCTGAAAGAGTGCAATCCGAAAACAATCATCCCAAACATCCCTAACATCCCTGACAGAATTCAATCAGATCAGAAAAATGTGTCATCACACACATGTAGCACTCGGAATGTACATATGTATACATGTATACATTAATAAAGGTACCACCCTGTGTACGTATGTTCATACGGGGGGGGCTAGGCACTCGGACCATTAAAACATCCGCACCTTCTGCTGCATGAGAGCTGAAAGTCGAAAGTCGAAGCCTTCGCCGCGGCGGAGACGACGAACCGTTCGACGTTGCCTGCAAGAGAGGACTTTCTTTCATCGTCGACCCGTACAGATTGATCTAATCTAATCATTCTAAGAAGAACCTCACCAACCGTATACATATTATAGATCGATATATCTGAAGAAGAATGTCCAACAAACTGCTTCAGCTGCTTTGTAACTGCTTTGTTGGACCTCTAAGCTTTAGTTGATCAGCTGGCACGGCATTTTCCCGAACCCAACGTCTTCCACGTCGGGAGCGCGATCTTTGGGCGTAGAACCTGGCCCTAGACCAGGACCCATGGTCGGGGTGGAACCCCCCCTTAACCTCCTATTCACCTCTAAGGGTCAATTAATGGACACCCCGAAATGGGGGGCCCTGGTGGCACACAAACACTTTCTTAAAAGACAACAGCAAAGCGAACGGGGGTGCTCACCTGGACTCCTCACTGGCCCCTCTTGCAGCACCATCCTGAAACGCCCGGGTCCACTACTCTAGGAAGATCTGACGATGCTAGTTGGGCGACCGTTTCATCGCAAGTAGGACACAGAAAAGGCAGGATGCATGCATGTCAGACCAAAGTACATCATCTTGCGAGACTTGCTAAACACTCACATGACCAACCACTTGGATTTAGGCTATACTAAGTAGTCTACGGCATGCTCTATTTTGCTTGTCTATCATCAGTATTCGCTTGTGAATGAGACAGGGCCCCCACATAAACGATATGCTTTTGCTTGACACTAAAGTAGTCTGAACGAGATAGTGTGATTTGCTACTAAAGTAGTCTGAACGAGATGCTGTGACATGACCTCCTACTTAAGTAGTCTAAACGAGATAGGGCCCCCGCATAATAGATAGTGTATTTGAGTTTAGTACCAAATAAATGCCGCTGCACACAGGTGTGTTCACAAGCACGAACCAGCAACCGTAGTGTCCTCCAGGCCTACAAACAAAGCTGCAAGAACTCCCACCAAGCCAATCAGATTGCACACGCCGATGCCAACCTGGCACAAACACAAGTTTATTATAGTTTACTCATGACGAAGGAGAATACAAAACGCTTCCCCCGGACCTGAAAACCCTGTTTTATGTCAAAGAATACTATTGTAATTGCCATGCTAGCCCTCCGAGCTGGTCAAGGGTCGTGTAGCTCCACAGCCTTCAAACTGGCACTCTTCCTGGAAATGAATCTTACTGAATCACAACAACGCGATTGTGGCAGTCTCATCGCTTGTCCAACAAATGGGGTGCAAATGGCATGTGCACAGTGTGGTGCTCCTAGTCAGCTATAGTGGTTGCTGATCTGTCAAATGCAGTTGATTGATTCCAAGAAAAACATGTTATAGATTGCTATAGAATGTTATAGAAGTTGTAGACATGTACAGTAAATACTCCGATGGAACATATGTACTTCAAATACTGGAAAATCAACAACGAGAGCAATATAAAACAACGTGTTGCATCTTTTCGGGCCTCTTTCTTGGATCTCCTCTTCTCATCTTATTGTAGCTCTACATACAATTTCGAAGCAACACGAAGACGCCGGCTTCGCCAAGAACCGGATGCCTCAAGCAAGGGCCACGTGCAAACGCGCAAGGCTAGGAAGCAAAAGTGCATCAGCAGAACCTGCAAATGGCAGGTAATTGACACCGAACGATGACAGGTGGATGGGAAGGTCTTTAGTACCCTTCTAAAGGCCCTCTATAGATCAATTGTTGTGTCCGGAAAACTGAGCATGTTCATGCCAAAACAATCACTGCCCTACAGATCATCAGAGCGTCGCGGCCATTCCGGAAACGTCCGAGATATGGTCGGACGGATCGAGTCCATTCCTGGCCCCTGGACAGACCATGAAATCTTCAGACCAAGACGGATGGGGTTTCTTCACTGCGTTGCAGGGATACATGAAGACCAACCAAGTCTTCAAGGCACGCCAAAACCATCTAAGTCGGTCGCTTGTCGCTTTCATGCCTCACCGCCCGGTCATGTCCTGATTTTACCTCTGCTGCTTTGCAGGTTGAACACCCAACCGCCCCCGGCACTTTTTGCGGTGTCTTTTGACATGTGCAGGACTGGCAATTTGGCGACGCCGATGCCCGTCCAGGTACAGAAGCTCTGACTGTTTTGTTCATGCCTTTTCGTTGGGCCTGGGGAGCCCTTACAGAGAAAAGACATGGGGGTCTACTGAATCTAATTATTGAGATTGGTCTAGGCACACTGCAAATTCATCGTGTCTGTTTGCTATATTGATTATTATTGTAGGAGAGGGGCTTGTGATGTTGTCTCATGCTGGCAGCGGTGAAATTCCACCTGATGCAGTCCCCCAAAAAACCTTGAAACCAACGCGAGTCCTTCGGGTTTCCCAGGGACCAACAGGTTTTCCTGCGAAGACCCCAGTCAACTGCACCGAGGCCAAGAGACCCAGGATGACCCGCGGCCAAGTGCATTTTGATGACCCTCAAGCCTCTCAGAGTCTCAGAGTCTATTGGTTTCTTTCACCAGGAGAGGAGCCACCGTGTCCTCGGACTGCCACCTGCATTCAGGGGACGGGCACCCTGGGTCGTTCCAAGTCAAGAAAGCAGAAAGCCTTCGGATTGCGAACACAAAAAGAAAAGACTGGATGCCACTCACCCAAACACACTCCATGGGACTGGAACACATGCCTACATTGCCCCCGCAAACCACCCCAGGGTCATCGTCTGGACTGAATAGTAATAAATCTCAGAGTCAACTTTTACCGAACCTGGCCAGCCATCAGGGCAATCTTCTCGCCGCAGTTGGACGAAAGATTCACCCTTAACTTGTGTGCACTCAGCACTGTACATCTACTCTGACACCTTCTCCAACTCACAATGCAGGTGGTGAACAAACTCATCACTGCCATCAGTGCGCAAGTACCTCCAGTTCGGGCGATCTAACCAGCTGTGTAACGTCGGCATGCAAATATTTTCAGTAGTCTACCGGAACGTCTACCGGAACACCGTGCCAGCAGGATGCTCCAAACACCCTCGAGTTTCCATGATTCTTCTGGTTCGAAGTTCGGGCCCCGTTCGGGTCCCTGCCCCTACCGCGCTCTTTGTAGCTTCATGTTTGTGGGACAAATCCGAAGCTGCTCAGCCCAGCCCACCCCGAACAGCTCCACGCTGTTTCTGATAAGGGAGGTTGCATGTCGTAGATCAGGCGGTCATCCTCAAGCTTGTAGACTCGCCGCGATCCACTGGCGGACCTTGGAGCGCTCCAGAGGTCCGTGCCCAGTCGGACGGTGACACGTGGCGAGGCCACACGTCTTCGACGTGGCAGGTCGCGTTTGCACGAACTTAGCTCCAAGTCAAGGACAGTGGAACCCCTTAGGCCCTAAGCTGCTCCTGGTGTACTTTCACGATGTTCGTGGAATTGGTGGTTCACGCAGGACAAATGATGACTATCAGCAGTATGACAGCAGGAACCTCCGCAAACAAACGACAAAGCACACCACCCGTGGCAAGTATCAGTATGTATCAGGATAGAATAAATACCACCCTGCAAACTGACATAGAACCTGAAAACCCGTCGACTCCTAGAGGAAAATCCGTCAACATGATTTTCCAGGGATCTACACTCTGAAGAACGCATCACATTGAAGTGGATGGGAAACTGGTCCCTTGGAGAACAGTTTTCCTTTAGGAACAGGTGGTTTCCACTTCCATCTGATGTGTTCATCGGAGTATACTCACTATAGGGTTCGATACTGGGTTCGATTGGCCTGATCTGCGGCGATGTGAATCGACATGGCCAGGGCACTTCCCACCTGCAGATGGGCCCCGCTGAAAGCAATCCTCCGTGTCTGCTAGACATTCGAAGATGTTCTGCGCAAAGTCGAAGTGTGCAGTTTTGTAATACCTGTTCTTTCCAGCCAGGCCGAGCCGGGGTCGAGAAAACGTTTCACTCCAAAAACACATATGGCTTGCACCCAAGATCTCTGCGCGGTGTGTTGCACCCGTTGCGTGTCACAAATTTCATGTGTAAGCTGGAACCTCTTTGGGTGTCAAAAAAAACATGTTGTTCCATTGGACATCCACGACCTGTTCGCCTGCTCGACCTTTGCGACACGTTCCAGCTCGTCCGTTTCGACACTCGCGACCCCGGTCACTCGTTCACGCTGAAGGGATGGCTCAACATCAACTCAGCCTTCTTCCTCGGTCACGAGAGTCTCAGATTTGCGTGGAGAGAGCTGAAAAAACTGTTTGTTTTTTTCCTGCTTGGGGGGTACAAAGATTCTTGATTTGGCCGAATTTTTGGACTGGTTTGGAAGTTCTGAAAATCAACCAATGGCCTCATCTTCCCATGCCCTGAAAATAGAATCTTGGCTTGACTTCACAGTGCTTTGCATGAGCAAGGAGTGACATCACAGCACTTGGATGAAGAACTTTCGAGGAGTTTCGAGGATGCAGAAAAAAACGTACGAGCAGATGTTGGGATACATTCCTCTCCCCACGACCCCCGAAAGCCTCAGTGGTGAACAAATGACATTTTCCTGGATGGATAACAGCGACGTGCGTTTTCCTCACGCGCCTAGCGGCGCCTGGCAAAGCAAAAGCCAATTGAAGGGTACGTGCCCTACTTGACTTTTCTTAGCAGGGGTGCTGGGAGGGCAACAGCTCCCACAGTACCCCATGATGGTCCAATTCTACCGGTACACTTGCGCAGCTTCATGGTCTGCAAGCAAAGCAAGCAAGCCTTTTTGAAGGATGTTAAATGTTGTTGCCTTTCTCTTTAAACTTATGATTTCAAAAAAAATTGAACAACTTCATCAATTTTGTCTGCTTTTGTAAATGTTGTTGCCTATTTAAATTTATGCTTGGCCAAAGCAAGGGCGATATGATGCAAAAGTGCCGCCCCAAATTGGTATTGATCCGGGCCTTACCGCTAAGGCCCGGATCAACACCGATTTGGGGCCAACATTTTGGCCAAGCAAAGTGGAAAATTGGCAGATTGTGCAGTGTGCAGTTCCTAAGTCAGTTACAAAGCAACAACACAAAAAAGACCAAAGCAGCCAGGAAACAGTAGCCACATGTGGCCAGCTCCTTTGCCCCTGCTGACGTTGATCGCGCTCTGTAAGTTGAACGGCAAGACCTTGAAGCCCAGCGATCATGTAGTACAAAAAACATGTTGGCCAACAAGTATGTTGGATAAGAATGGAAACATGGTACATCATGTTTGCTTTGGAAAATACTCAAAATATCCAACTATAGTCTTGGAAAGTAACCAACAATAATATTGGAAACTGTTTGCTGAAACAAATGAGCAAAATTTCGCACGCTTCATCAAGGATCTTGAGGGACTGGCAGGCGATGATGCGAATTTCAGAAACGAATGCTTTCAGATCTTCGTAGTTGAAAGACCCTCCGAGGTAAAGGGACGGACTGATCCGAGTTCATAGAAGAATGAAACCAATGCCAGGCTTTTCAGATAAGATTGTACAAATGCCAATAAGAAAGTTCAAACAATATCAAAAGTTGAAAAACACGTTGAAAAATACTAAAAGGCCAAGACACAGCTTCGCACCATTCTGATCGAGCATGCATCCAATGGCCTCGTGGACAAGATCCTGACAGGTGACAGGGTTATCGTCCAACAGATTGATAGGTGGATACACAAGTAGCGTATGGACTTTGAATGGGTGGATGGATGGCTGGATGGAGGGTGGAATGGACGCATAGGTCAATGAACGGGAGAGAAAAATAGATAAACAGATAGACAGGAACAATATAGACAATCCGTTTTCCGTTTTGGGTTCTTGTAATTGCAGATCCGTCTTTTATAGGTGCTGGAGAACAGCAGATGCATTCGGATCGTTCTATTGGCTGTTGAGACAAGCGTTTTATTATCTTCATTGATGAATATCCCACACGTGTAAAGGGCGTTTTTGGAGGGCAAGCTCAGTACCTGGATCAACGTTTGGGCTTCAAACTGCGCCGGCTTCTGCTCAACATAGGCATTGTGTTTTTTGTTTTGCGACCAGAACCCCAAACCACGCCACCAAGCAGAGCAACAGCTTGTCTACATCAACCAAACCGCCAAGCCCAAGTCCCTGCCGCTGAGGATGGCTGATCATCTATAGCCTCTTCCAGCTGAGTTTGCGTGCAGAGAGGCCCGTCCCAGGTCACTTGTCTTTTGAATGCTTTGGGCTTCTTACAATACAAGCGCGCAAGTAATTTTTGGGGTTTGTTGTGGTTCTTCAAGGCCACTTGTGTACTGGCGCTGCTATTTTGATCCCTTTTGGAAGAAAATAGCAGGCCGAGCGACTTTGACCAAGCCAAAATAGCACTACTACCGTAGCCCATAACCCTTTCTGGCCTACCACTAGTGACTTCAGAGTAGATGACACGAACTCATACTTTCAGCTTGTGATTGGGGCTACGCCTCTCAGTCTAGAACAAAGCTCCTTAGAGTATCATAGCTGAGTGGCTATTGGACAGTGTACTCAAACAAAAGACCGTGAGTGTCGCTCGTGGGATCTTGTGGCTCAAGTTCCAGTGTAGCGTACTCGAGCGTCGGACGCTCCTGAGTTGATTCAGACCGCACCGGTTCATCAAACAGAGCTTGGGACAAAGCCTCTGGGCGATATATCCCCCCTTCCGACTAAT